CAGTTTCGGATTTCTAGGCCACCAACCTTCTCCGCAAGATTGTTGACCTCTTCAACTCTCTACCCACTAAATTCCAAGTTTCTACGACCCCTAGCAGCTGAGATATGAACGTGGCCGAGTTTTGGATTTCTAGGCCACCGAATGCGAAACGCTGTAACTCGGCTCACAGTTGTCCTATCTTCATGAAGCTTGAACAGTAGCTCTCACTAAACTTGCTCTATCGAAAAATCCGAAATTCATGGCCTAGAAAAATCTAGATTTGGGTTTCTAGGCCACCAAGTTAAAATGGTTGTAACTTTGCTCAAAATGACTATTTTTCGAATTCGAAGAAGGCTTTGTTTTTCGATTATCAAGGGCTTTCAATCTATATTCACTTGAACCAGGCGGGATTACTGTAGTTTCCGTAGTGGGACGCAATTAAACCAAGCATCGTTTTCAGTCAATTTTAGGCCGATTTTTCGTCATTTACAGATCTATTTTCAGCCAATTTCGCGAATAGTTTTCTCACCTTTATACTTTTTGCCCAACCGCATCGTTGAAAGTGTCGAAATGATGTCCGGCACGGCTAGACCTGTCTCATGCGACAAAAATGTGCCGGTTACCGTATGTCCGACGTGCGTTTTGAACTGTTTGATCAGCACCCACCACCAATAGCTACGGTAGGACACTTTTCCGAGGTCTGATAGCGGTTTTTCCGGTGTTCCAATGTAGCCCTCGCGTTTCGATAGCTCGTAGCCTGGAAAATCGGCAATTTTCAGCGTTTTTTTTGGGGCTTTTTTCAGTCAAAAATGCCATTTTTCAGGCCTAAAACTGACAGTTTTGAGCCAAAATTGGCCCAAAGCACGCCCCCCCCCCCCAAAAAAGAACTCACTGAGCTGAATCAACAGTTTACCGTATCCATTCTTTTGGAACGGCGGAAAAATCATTATGCACGCGAGATTGTTCAACGATTCCACCTCTCGCGAGAAGTATCCAACGATGTGGGCTCCTTTTGAGTCGGTCTGAATGGAAAAATGTGTCAAAAATCGCATTTTTGGCACTTTTGGCACTGAAAAACATCCTCAAAACACCTCAAAAAGATTTTGGATCTAGGGGTCGCGGGTTCGACTCCCGCCGGTGGAAAAATTTTTTTTTTGGAATCGTTTTTGGGGGTTTCCCGGGGCAAGAAATTCAAAAATTGAGGTTTAACGACTCTTAAAATTTGTTCAGAGGGTGTTTTGGACATTTTTGATCTGAATGTAGAGGTTTTAGGGCTAAAAACCTGGAAAATCACGATTTTTCAGCCCAAAAACACTTCAAAAACCACTTTAAACCTATATTTCGACCCTAAAATCAGTTTTCTAGCGATTCTTCAAAAAAACGTGTTCGGATGGCCTAGTGGGATTTTCAGCTGAAATTTTGGATCTAGGGGTCGCGGGTTCGACTCCCACCGGTGACAATTTCTTTTTGAAAACTTTATTCGGGGTTTTCGAGGGCGGGAAATTCAAAAATCGAGGTTAGAACGTTGAAAAATGCCTTTTAAGGTCCGAAATCTCACCTCACAAAGAACGTAAAACATGAAATCGTCGACGTCAAAGTACAGCGTTTTGTGGTCCATGAATAGCTTGGAAAGGAGACAAAGGCATTGACAGTAGAGCTGAAAGATGATATTTTTTGGCGCCAAAATGTTTTTTTTTTCAAAATTTCAAAAATCCCAAAAAACCAACTTTTTGCGTATGTCCATCCACTTCGTAAACCGATAAATTGTCCTTTCGATAGATTTCGTTCCCGGGCGGCTGGCGAAGTTTGCATGTCTGGAAAACTTTGAAAGTGGTGGCCTAGAAATCCAAATCTTGGAATTTCTAGGCCACAAAACTATATTCATCTTGTAAAGCAAGTTTAGTGGGAGCTACAGTTCAAATTTCCTCGAGACTGGACTTCTAGGAGTCGAGTTATAGCCAGTTGAAGTTGGTGGCCTAGAAACCCAAATTTGGAGTTTCTAGGCCACCAAATTTTAAGCATTTTTAGAGCAAGTCTTCATCAAGCCTATGGTTCAAATAAGAACATTCTAGGACTAATTGGAGTCGAGTTATAGCTCAGTGAACATGGTGGCCTAGAAATCCAAAACTCGGCCACAAGCGTATCTCAGCTCCGAGAAGTGCTAGAGACTTGAACTTTGGACCATAGGGGTTTGGAGACATGACAAATTTAAAAATCTGAAAATCGAAAAATTCAGTGGCCTAGGAATCTCAAAATCTCAGAAACTAGGCCACCACTTCACATACGCCATATCTCAGCCCTTATAACTGCTGGAATCTTGAAATTTTGAATACAAAGAATGTTAAATGTGAGAAACCGAAAGATCAGAAATCAAATTTCTCGGATGATTAGAAGGCGAGATATGTCTATTTAAACATGGTGGCCTAGAAATCCAAATCTACGAATTCTAGGCCATGAATTCTATAATCGTTCTGTAGAGCAAGTTTGAAAGAAGCTATGGTTCAAGTTTCATGAAGATATGACTTCTAGGAGTCGAGTTATAGCTTTTTGAGTTTGGTGGCCTAGAAAACCAAAACTCGGCCACCTTCACATCTCAGCTCCGAGAAGTGCTAGGGACTTGAATTTTGGACCATAGGGGTTTGAAGACATGACAAATTGAAAAATCGGAAAATCGAAAATTCAGTGGCCTAGGAATCTAAAAATCTCAAAAACTCGGCCACCACTTCAAATACGCCATATCTCGGCTCATAAAAACGCTAGGAGCTTCAAATTTTCAAATTTCAGCATGATTTTTCCCCCATTTCTTACCTGTAAATGCGATTTTGCCCGGGATTTGTGTGGTGTATAGGCCAGACAGTACTCGCACATGAAGATCTCGTGATTCTCACAAAATTTGGGGAACGGCGAGTAGTACCACGAGTTTATCGTGTAGGCGCCGATCGTGATCCGCGGGATGTTCTTGATTTTTGTGCGCTGTAAAAAATTGGAATTTTTTGAAATTTTGGAATTTCGGAGGATTCTGAAAATCTAAAAATCTCAGAAATACTCAAATTTGGCGCCAAAAATCGCACAAAAAACTCTGAAATACTCGAAAAATGAGCTCAAACACGCCTAAATCCTTCGAAAAGCGGGATTTTCGACGAAAAATTTGGATCTAGAGGTCTCAGGTTCGACTCCCACCGGTGGCAACTTCTTTTTTAAAGTGTTTTTTGGGGTTTTCAAAGGCGGGAAATTCGAAAATCGAGGTTAAAAAGTCAGGAAAATGGATTTTCGGGCATTTTTGGACTGAAAATTCAGAATTTTTGAAGTTTTTATGACTGAAAACCTCGAAAATCGCAATTTTCGTGCTCAGAAAACACCTTCAGGGCATTTGAAAACCCATATTTTGACCTTAGAAATCATTTTCTAGACTTTTTCTAAAAAATTGCTCGGATGGCCGAGTGGGATTTCCGACGAAAATTTGGAATTAAGGGTCGCAGGTTCGACTCTCACCGGTGGCAACTTCCTTTTTTAAAACTATTTTTGGGGGTTTTCAGGGGCGGGAAACTCAAAAATCGAGGTCTAAAAGCTCAAAAAAGTCCGAAAACGCCTCAAACCTCCTCATGCTCTCTCTCCAGCCTGGCCGTCGTCGCGTCCATTGTACTATTATTGGGTTGTAAATGAAAATGCTCCTCCAATTGCCGCCGGACACTTCTCGTTGTGATATTATTCAAACCCCCTTCTTGCCGCAGCTCTTCCGGAATGATAATCTCATTTTCGGCGATCGGTTTTACCGGCTCATTGAGCTTGATTCTGCAAAAAATAGGGATGAAAATTGGCTGAAAATCGCTTGAAATTATCGAAAAAACTACCCAAAAATGGTCCAAAATCGCAAGAATTAGCCCTAATATGGTTAAAAACACCGAAAAACACGATTTTCGAAAAAGTGCTCAGATGGCCTAGTGGGATTTTCGACGAAAAATTTGGAGCGAAGGGTCCGGGGTTCGACTCCCACCGGTGGCAATTTTAAAAAAAAGTGTCTTTAGGGGTTTTTGAGGGCGGGAAATTAAAAAAAATCAAGGTTAAAAAGCTCAGAAGTGAGCCGAAGGCGATTTTTCAGCATTTTCAGCCGAAAAAACTCACTGTTCCAGCACAATCCACTCATCATTTCTCCTATCCAGCTGCTCATAATGCACATAGAACATCAACTGTAATTGCTCATCCTCTTTCCCCTCGTCATCGTCATTCAGAAGGACACGTGGCACTTGTGGACGCATTTCCATGTGCAGGATGACGGCGACTTGCTGAAAAATGTTATTTAGAGCTCAAAAATGGGCCTGTAATGACCAGAAATCAGTCCTAAAAAGGTCAAAATAGACTTAAAGTAGCTAAAAACCCCGAAAAAACACTTTTGAGAAGAAGTTGCCACCGGTGGGTGTCGAACCCGAGACCCCTAGATCTAAAAATTTTGCAGAAAACTCCATTTTAGAATTCAAAAATGGGCTCGAAATAGCTTAAAAACAGCCTAGCATAACCCTAAAATAGTTAAAAACCCCCAAAAAAGTCGATTTTTTGCGATTTTCCAAAAAAAGTGCTCGGATGGCCGAGTGGGATTTTCGACGGAAAATTTGGATCTAGGGGTCTCAGGTTCGTTTCCCACAGGCGGCAAATTCTTTTTTAAAGTTTTTACTAGGGGTTTTCAGCGGCGGGAAATTCAAAAATCGTGATTAAAAATTTCAGAAATCGGTTCTTAGGGTCGAAAATAAAAGAATTTCTCGAATTATCTAACCTTTAGGACTGAAAATCACGGAAATCGCGATTTTTGAGCTCAAAAACACCTCCAGGACCTTTAAAAACCCATAATTTGACCTTAGAAACCATTTTCTAGCCATTTTCCAAAAAAGTGCTCAGATGGCCGAGTGGGATTTTCGACGAAAAATTTGGAGAGAAGGGCCCATGGTTCGACACCATCGGTGGCAAATTCTTTTTGAGAACATTTATAGGAGTTTTCAATTGCGGGAAAACCGAAAATCGTGGCTAGAAATCATGAAAATCAAGTTTTAGGGTCGAAAATGAAGAATTTCTAGATATTTCAAAGTTTTCAGGCTGAAAACCTCGGAAATCACGATTTTCGTGCTGCGAGACCACTAAAAACCCTACAATTTGACCTCAAACCCGTTTCCTAGACATTTTTCAACAAAGTGTCCGGATGGCCGAGTGGGATTTTCGACGAAAAATTTGGATCTAGGGGTCGCAGGTTCGACTCCCACCGGTGGCAACTTCTTTTTTAAAGTGTTTTTTGGGGTTTTTAGACGCGGGAAATTCAAAAATCGTGGTTCGAAATCCTAAAAACTCGGTTTTAGTAGTCAAAATTCAGTTTTAAGCCATTTTTCTCACATTTTCAATTTTCTCCGGCGAAATCTTCTCCACCATATATCGTTTATTGAGCTCCGGCAGTGCTTGTGGCTCGGATTTTGGCTCCACGGTCACTTCTTCCGGCTCTTTTTTCGTCGATGATTCTGGAGCCGTGGATTCTGGGGCTCCAGATTCTGCTCCAGAAGACGTCGGACCTTCAGAATCCGCTTCTGCAGCAGCGCCCAAATTCATCAAACTCTCCGGTTTTTCGTCGATTTTCGCCCGTTTTTCACAATTTTCTTCTTGTGATGATGATTCTTTGGCTCCGCCCCCTCCTTTTTCAGATGATTCCGATGATCCTTGTGTGTTTAGTCGTCTCCTTTTTCCACTCATTTTTTTGGCGAATTTAAAGCTGAAAATTTCAGATTTTTAGAGGAAAAATTGAAGTTTTTAAATGGAAATTTATATGAAAAATAGAAAAGTCTTGATATTTCAGTGAAAAAACAAACAATTGAAAATGGGTCTAAAACAGCGAAAAAAAAACTAGTTCAAAATCGCTTTAAAATAGTCAAAAACGACTTGAAAATGCTAAAAATAGGTCTAAAATAGTTAAAAACCCAAAAAAAGTCGATTTTCCAGCGATTTTCCAAAAAGTGCTCGGATGGCCTAGTGGGATTTTCGGCTGAAAACTTTGGAACGAAGGGTCGCGGGTTCGATTCCCACCGGTGGCAACTTCTTTTTTCAAAGTGTTTTTTGGGTCTGAAAGTGCTCGGATGGCCTAGTGGGATTTTTGAGGAAACGTTTGGATCTAGAGGTCGCGGGTTCGACTCCCACCGGTGGCAAATTTTGAAAAAAAAACGATTTTTGGGGTATTCAGGGGCGGGAAATTCAAAAATTGAGGTTAAAAAGCTCAGAAAAGTTTCCAAAAGTCAGTTTTAAATATGAAAAATCACCGATAAAAAAACGGCAAAAAAATACAAAAATTCCATGAAAAACGGCTCAGAAATCTTCAATTTTTATAAACAAATTAGTATTCTTAAAAAGCAAAGCAGAGAGAAATGATGGGGGAATTTTTCAAAATTGGCAAATAAGTTAACAAAAAGGATAAATACTGATATCATCTTGGAATTGCGAGGGAACGAGAGACATTGGAAGAGGAGGAGAAAAGAGCATCAGCAAGAATGTGTGTCGTGGAGAAGAAAAATTTGAAAAAATAAAAATGTCTTTGGTTTGAAAAGTAAGAGATTTTTAAGTTGAAAATTGGCTGAAAATCGTGATTTTTAGGTCAAAAAAGCCGCGAAAAAATGAGACTTTTCAGCTTGAAAATAGGCTAAAAACTGCTAAGAGCTTAATTGGCTGAAAATCATTATTTTTAGGTTAAAAAATGGCTAAAAATCATGACTTTTAGGCTAAAATTCGGCTGAAAAATTGTGCTTTTTGCTTCAAAAATAGGTTGAAATATGCTAAAAATCATGATTTTTCACTTAAAATTGACTGAAAATTCGAATTTCAGATAAAAAATAGCATAAAAATCGGCATTTTCAGAGTAAAAACGGCTTGAAAATCACGATTTTTAGGGTTAAAATTGTGCTAAAAATCGCCAATTTCAGCCTCAAAACAGCGTAAAACTGCGGGTTACGGTAGGTACAGAAAAAAATTCCAGAACAAAAAAAGAAAAACAGGAAAAAAGTGATAACAAATGATACGGATTTTTGAACACACAACAAGTTTTCGGACCAAAAATCACTGTGAAAATCGATCAAAAATGTGTCAAAAAGTGCCAAAAAATTACAGAAAATGGCGGGAAATTTGAATTTTTGTATTTTTTGAAAGTAGTTAAAAAAGGTAGAGAAATTCTAGACAGTTTGAGTAGCGTCTTCCACTGATGGCACCGTCGTCGCTCCACTGATCGTTTGAACTCCGATTGTGTGGTGTTCCTGAACGAAAATTATTGATCGCATTTTCAGCGTTTTCAGCGTTTTCAGCAATTTTTAGCCATTTTCTAGACATTTTCAGTCACATTTCGTGATTTTCTAGACATTTTAGGCAAATTTTCAGGCATTTTAAAGTCAATTTTACATAATTTTATCCATTTTATCCGATTTTAAATCATTTTAAAGCCTATTTTCTGCATATTTTCGAATTTCTTCATATTTAAAACTGTTTTTTTTCGGTTTTTTTGACTTTTGGAAACTTTTCTGAGCTTTTTAACCTCAATTTTTGAATTTCCCGCCCCTGAATACCCACCAAAAATCTGTTTTTTTTTCAAAATTTGCCACCGGTGGCAGTCGAATTCGCGACCTCTAGATCCAAATGTTTCCTCAAAAATCCCACTAGGCCATCCTAGCAATTTTTGGAAAATCGTGTTTTTTTTAGCATTTTAGCCTATTTCGAGCATTTTAGGACCGATTTTCGGTGTGTTTTGATCATTTTAAGCCTATTTTTGGGTAAATTTTTAGACTTAATTTTGGTCATTTTCAGCCAAGATTCGTACTATTGTAGGCCAGATCGGGCATTTTCGACCATTTTAGGCTTATTTTCGGTCATTTTCAGTTCATTTTAGCCTACTTTTAGTCATTTTCAGCCCATTTTTAGTCTAATTTCAGTCAATTCTCAGTCACTTTTAGCCTATTTTCTCATTTCTAGGAGGCTGGCGTGCCTTTGGCGCGTTTTTCAGTCAATTTCAGCCCATTTTTAGCCAATTTTCAGTCGTTTTAAGCCTATTTTCAGCCATTTTCAGCCTATTTTTAGCTCAAAAATTCGCGCATTTTCCGACTGAAAATTGCTCATTTTCAGCTAACAAACAAAACAAAAAAAACACCACTCACATCATCATCAACTTCCGTTCTCAACGGCCCACTCTCAATATTCTGAATCTGCGTCTCCGTCGTCGCCGCCGGAGTTCTCCGTTGTCGTCGTGAGCCTAGAAATTAAGGATGAGCAATCCAAGAAAGTCAATAATTTATTGAAAAATTCTCAAAAAAAAAAAATAGAGTTCAAATCTCCTGTTTTTTAGGGCTGTCTTGATCGCCAAAAATCAGTCGGGGATCTGAAACTTTTTTGGCTGAAAATGACATTTTTGGGGTCCAAAAACGTCTGGAAATGCTATTTTTGGGCAGCTAAAATAGGCCTAAAAATATCATTTTCCTGGTAAAAATAAGCCCAAAAATGTCATTTTTAGAGTGAAAATGGGCCAAAAAGCACTCAATTTTCCGGTCTAAATAAGCCAAAAATCCTCCAATTTTTTGTTTAAAATAATCCTAAAAATCCTCATTTTTGGCTTAAAATTGACCTAAAAATCAAGGTTTCTGGGGATAAAAACACGGCTAAATATGACTTTTTGGAGCCAAAATAGGTCTGAAAATAGCATTTCCGACTCGAAAAAGGCCTAAAAGTCCTCAAAAATCGGGTCGAAACCAGCCAAAAACTCACCCAACAACCCATCAGCAGCCAATAATCGATAAGTGAGTACTGTATTCGTGGAGGCCAGCGAGAGGATGACGATTCCGTTGATAAGTGATTGCCACCATGGGACGTCCGGAATTGAGGTGAACTGCAACGAAATTTAGGCTTTTTAGGCAGTTTCTAGGCCTTTTAAGGCTATTTTCAGGCTTTTTCTAGGCCGTTTAGAGGCTATTTTAGGTGATTTATCAGCTCTTTTCAGCCCGATTTAAGCCATTTTCAGGCAATTTTGGGCTTATTTTAGGCAATTTTTAGGCCTATTACGCAATTTTTGACCATTCTGGGCTATTTTTAGCTTATTTTTTGCCTAATTTCAACCAACTTTTCCCAAAATTTCTCTACAATTTTTACCACAAAATAGAGCAAATACGCCGAGACGCAGAGCCGGAACGCGAACAGTGTGATCATGTTGAGAAGTGCGATCATTCGGAACGACGGACTCTTTTTGTCGACTCCGTACCTGAAAAGTGGGAATTTTCAGAGCATAAAATGACCTAAAAGAGGCCTAAAAAGGCCCAAAATCGGCCTAAAACTCACAAATTCAACAAGCTCCGCGAGTGAAGGAAGATCGAGTTGAGCTCCATGAGCAGTCCAAAGATCACGACGCCGAGGAATCGATTCATAAACTGTAATAATCGTTTTTAGTCGTTTTTGAGCCATTTTCAGTCATTTTTTGGTAATTATAGGCCAATTTTAAGCCATTTTAGGCCTATTTTAAGCCAATTTTGACCTATTTTCAGTCATTTTTTTTTGAAAATTTTTTTGAAGTTTTTAGGCGTTTTTAGGCCATTTTTAGGCCATTTTGGACTTCATATAGGCAATTTTCGGTGATTTTCAGCGAAATTTGAATCATTTTAGGCATTTTCTAGGGTCAAAATGGGTCAATTTAGTGCATTTTTAGGCCCATTTCAAACAATTTCAGGTCGTTTTCAGCCAATTCAGTATCAGTTTAGACACTTTCTGAGCCATTCCGGTCATTTTAGCACCCAAAATCCCTTTAAAACCTAAAATTCGACCCAAAAAGTCAATTTTTTGCGATTTAAAAAAAAAGTGCTCAGATGGCCTAGTGGGATTTTCGACCAACAAATTTGAATCCCGAGGTCGCGGGTTCGATTCCCGTCGGTGGCAATTTTTTTTAAAAATGTATTTAGGGGTTTTCAGGGGCGGGAAATTCGAAAATTGAGCTACAAATAGTCGAAAATAGCCTATTCTAGCTCATTTTAAGCCAATTTCAGCCAAATTTAAACCATTACTGCCACTTTTCCGGTCAACATGGACCATTTTCAGTCATTTTTGTACCATTTTCAGCTTATTCTAGCTTATTTTAAGCCTATTTCAGCTCATTTTAAGCCAATTTTCAGCCAATTTCCTCACCATAGTCACTCCAAACGCCGACAACACGACGACATGATGGAAGAGGAGCTCAATGATGCGGGCGGATTGCTCATTGACCAATAAATCAACGAGATCGTGGAGAAGGTATCCGGTGGACATGAGAATCTGGAAGAATCGAGTTTTGAGACCGTTTTTAGGCTATTTAAAGCCATTTTCCGTGGACTTAGAGTCATTTCTGCCCTATTTTAAGCTATTTTGAGCTATTTTCAGTCATTTTTTGGTAATTTGAGGCCAATTTTAAGCCATTTTAGGCCTATTTCAGACCTATGTTAAGCCAATTTTAAGCTATTTTCAGTCATTTTTTTGGAAATTTTAGCCCTATTTTGAGGCATTTTAGCCCTATTTTGAGCTATTTTCAGTCATGTTAGGTCAATTTTAGGCTAATTTTAAGCCATTTTAGGCCTAATTTAGGGCTATTTTAAGCCAATTTTGAGCTATTTTCAGTCATTTTTTGGTAATTTTAGGCCGATTTTAAGCCATTTTAGCCCAATTTTAAGCCATTCTAGCCCTATTTTAAGCTATTTTCAGTCATTTGCTGGAAATTTTAGGCCAATTTTGACCCATTTTAGCCCTATTTTAAGCTATTTTCAGTCATTTTTGAGCCATTTTCAGTATTTTTTGGTAATTTTAGGCCAATTTTAAGCCATTTTAAGCCATGTTAGGTCAATTTTAGGCCAATTTTAAGCCATTTTAAGCCATGTTAGGTCAATTTTAGGCCAATTTTATGCCATTTTAGGCCTAATTTAGGCCTATTTTAAGCCAATTTTGAGCTATTTTCAGACATTTTTTTAGAAATTTAAGCCCTATTTTGAGCCATTTCAGCCCTATTTTAAGCCAATTTTGAGCTATTTTCAGTAATTTTTTAAAAATTTTAGCCCTATTTTAAGCCATTTTAGCCCTACTTTAAGCTATTCTCCGTCATTTTTTAAAATTTTAAGCCGTTTTAATTCAATGTTAGACTATTTCAAGCCATTTCAACCTTATTTTAGCTCTATTTTAAGCCATTTTAGGCCAATTTTTACCCAAAAAAAAGGCTAACAAAACTCACCAAATTAACACCGGCTTCACACCGGAAATAGGTGAGATCCTGAATGAGTTCCTTATAGTACAGTAGTGCGTAGGCGGCCCATAGTCCAGAGATCACCGAATGGATGAGAGAAACGCACTCGTTCGAGATTCGCCACTTTTTGTTCGGTGGAATTGCCTGGAAATCGGAATTTTAGAGGATTTTAGCCTAAAATCGTGATTTTCAGTCCTTAAATAATCTAAAAACGCCCCCAAAAGTCACATTTTGAACTTCAAAACCTCGATTTTCAAATTTCCCACCTAAAATAGTTAAAAACCCCCAAAAAAGTCGATTTTTTGCGATTTTCCAAAAAAGTGCTCGGATGGCCGAGTGGGATTTTCGACGGAAAATTTGGATCTAGGGGTCTCAGGTTCGATTCCCACAGGCGGCAAATTCTTTTTTAAAGTTTGTACTAGGGGTTTTCAGCGGCTGGAAATTCAAAAATCGTGATTAAAAATTTCAGAAATCGGTTCTTAGGGTCGAAAATAAAAGAATTTCTCGAATTATCTAACCTTTAGGACTGAAAATCTCGGAAATCGCGATTTTTGGGCTCAAAAACACCTCCAAGATCTTTAAAAACCCATAATTTGACCTTAGAAACCATTTTCTAGCCATTTTCCAAAAAAAGTGCTCAGATGGCCGAGTGGGATTTTCGACGAAAAATTTGGAGAGAAGGGCCCATGGTTCGACTCCATCGGTGGCAAATTCTTTTTGAAAACATTTATAGGAGTTTTCGAGGGCGGGAAGACCGAAAATCGTGGTTAGAAATCATGAAAATCTAGTTTTAAGGTCGAAAATTTTTTGAAAAAATCGTTTTTTTTGGACATTTTAGCCTATTTCGAGCATTTTAGGATTATTTAAAGCCTATTTTTGGATATTTTAGACTAAATTTTGACAATTTTAAGCCAAGATTCGTACTATTGTAGGCCAGATCGGGCATTTTCGACCATTTTAGGCCTATTTTCAGTCATTTCAGGTCTGAAAATGCCAATTTTCGACTTTTTTCAAGTATTTTTCAGCCTTTTTTGCTCAATTTCAGTCAGTTTCGGGCTATTTTAGGCTGATTTTGAGATTTTAAGCCATTTTTTGGACTATCTTTGGTGTTTCTAGGCTAATTTTTGGGCCTATTTCGGACCATTTTAGACCAATTTTGGGTAATTTTCGACAAGTTTTAGTCGATTATTGACCATTTTCAGTCAATTTAGACCATTTTCTGGTCATATTGGACCGTTTTAGATTAATTTAGAATGATTTTCAGTCGACTTTGAGCTATTTTAGACCAGTTTTAGCCTTTTTTGGATCATTTTAGACAAATTTGAGGTCAATCGAAGTCTATGTTAGACCATTTTTGACAAAATTCAGGGCCATTTCAGTCGATTTTTGGGTCATTCTGGATTTTTTTAGACTATTTTAGACCAATTTCAAGTCTTTCTTACAGCTTTTCAGATTATTTTGGACCATTTAGACCAATTTTTGTTCATTTTAAGCTTTAAAAAAAAACATTTTGGGTCACTTTCAGTGATTGCAGACCTTTCTAGACCAATTTTAGATCATTTTTTGTCAAATTTGTGTCTATTTCGATACATTTTTAATTATTTTCAGTCAATTTTGAATCATTTTAGGGTAATTTTGACCCCTTGCAGACCAATTTAGGGTAATTTTAAGCTTTTTTGGATCAATTCCGACCTATTTTTGACATTTTGCAGTCAAATTTGGATCATCTTTCGATCATTCTAGGCAATTTTAGACCAATTTTAGACACATTTTCAGCCAAAAATCTGGATTTTTCAGCGTTCATAGGTTTCTCACCAACAAATCTCTGGAATCTGGCTCTTGCTCGTTCTCCACCACCGCTTCTTCTTCTTCTGCTGTCTCGGCCGTCGTCGTGCCCGTCTCGACGACTTCTGCGCCTCCACGATTCCTCCGGATGCGATTGCGGACGTGGGTGAAGAAGTTGAAGTTCGGCCACGTCCATTTGCCGAACAAATACCAGCGAACGATGAATTGAAGAGCGCGGAAGAAGCAAAATGAGATGATCACCTGCAAAAAATGGGATTTTTGGGGTGAAAACAGCTAAAAAATCGGTCAAAAATGGCCAATTTGGTCCATTTTTGAGTGGAAAAATTGGATTTTTTCAAGTTTTAAGGTTATTTTTTGATCGAAAAATGCGAAAAAATCGGTCCAGAATGAACACCAAAAATAGCGTTTTTTAACGACTTTTATTCGATTTTTGAGGGAAAAATTCGAATTTTTCGATTTTTACAGTATTTTTTAAGACAAAAAAAGCGAAAAAATACCTTTTCGGATATTTTTTTAAGCAAAAAATCGATTTTTCGACGTTTTTCCGGGCGAAATCGGTTGAAAATGACTCACATATGGTCCATACGACCATACGATTTTCTAGCGAAAAAAATCCATTTTTGGGGTATTTTTAGACGAAAAAAGCGAGAAAAATCAAAATATGAAGCGTAGAAAGCGTTTTTAAGCTGAAAATTCGCGGCTTTGGTCAATTTTTGAGCTAAAAATCAATTTTCTAGAATATTTTAGGTCTGAAAAACACAAAAATCGGTTTAAAACCCACAAAAACACAGCTATAAACCACGAAAAACCATTTTTCTACCGGCAAAACCGTCGAATTCTCCATTTTTCGAAAAATCAATTTTTCTAGAATTTTCGCCAAGCTCAGAACCGATTTTTTCTCAAATTTCTCACAAAAATAAAATAATTACCCATAGAATTTTCGCTGGAACATCGCCGAGCAAATCCGCCAGATCCTTCATATTGTGTCTAGAAATCTACCTGGAAATTCAATTTTGTGCAAAAAAAAGCTGTAAAAATCGATTTTTAAGGTAAAAAATTGAAGAAAAACGGGTTAAAAACATCAAAAAATGGAGAAAAAGAGCTAAAAAATTCATTTAAAAGGGTTTTTCTACACAAAAATCGGGAAAAAATACAAAAAAATTTCTATCAGTTTACTTCTGGCCGGCCAATTGAGCAATGGTGGATTTGACCTGGAAAACACACATTTTTAAGCCTAAAAATACACATTTTATCGATTTTTCATACATTTTCTCTCGACAAGTCTTCCAGAGTGGCGACTCTCTCCACTCCATGCTCATATCTCGCAAAAACTCTGCAAATATCGATAATTTTTCGGAATTTTCGGCCTAAAAAACCTTGGCACAATGCCAGACGCCTCGCGGATCAGAATTGGGAACTGCGGATTGGCCTTCTTGATGCCCACATAGTCGTTTTCGATGAAAGCACGGACTCCGGCCGAGGCGGGGCTCTTCTGGCACAAATGAATGCGAATCTCGCGGAGAGCGGTGCCGGCGAGACGGACGGACATCTGAAAAAACTTAAATTTACGCGAGAAAAGCAAAAAATCGAGAAAAAACCAGAAAAATTGAGTTATTTTGGCTGAAATTCGAACAAAAAAGGCAAAACAATTAAAGGCGGCGGCCCCGCCCACTATTTCGCAACCCCTGCGCGCGGTTTTTGCAACTCCGCCGCATGGACTTGACTTTTTCCCGATTTTCTTGGCATAGCTCAAAATGACTTCGTAACCCCAAATTTTTTTGATTTTCCCCAAATTTTCAAATTTTCCTTCAGAAATATGCCTTTTTACACCTTTTTAAACAACTTTCATCTTGAAAGTTTCCTGAAAAACCCCTAAAAACTGCCAAAAATCAATAAACGCCCCCTTTTGCAAGGCCCGCGCAGGGTTTTCGCAACCGCGCCGCACAGTTCCCCGACATACTGCAAGTGTCACGTCATCCCGCTGTTTCGGCCGATTTCAGCCAATTTTCAGCCATTTTTTTTGGTTTTTTCGCGAATATAGCAAATTCCGAGTGTTTTTCCACTAGAAAATCCAAAAAAATTTGCAGTAATTAGGCTCGAAACATGGCTCGCGCCTCGTTCGAGTACGACGAGGTCGGCAACACATTTTACTATGTCTTAGTCGCATTTTATGCGTTCATTTTGTTCCCAGCGACATGGTTGTGTCTTCCGGGCGGTGCGAAACCAGGTAAATAATTTTTTTAAGATAAAAAGTTTTTTTTCGAAATTTTCGACATATCTGTTTCCAGAAACCGTCCATGTGGTCAATGAACACGAGTGTCAGTGTGATGGTTGTGATAAAAAACGGCGAAAGAAGGCGGCGAATAAGCCATGGAGACGGACCAAGAAAATTATCACGATTTCGGTATTTTTGAAAATTTTGAAAATTCTAAAAAATCTAAAAATCAATAATTTTTAGGCCCTCGTCGTCGCTTGGGCGATTTTCGCTATAATTGTCAAAAAGACCACTGAAATCGAGCAGGTTCACCAGGATTACGATCCTTATCAGATTTTGGGTCTGGATCAGGGAGCCGAGGAGAAGGCTATCAAGAAGGCGTACAGGGATTTGACAAAGGTAGGATTCTAGACCGTTTTGGAGTGATTCTAGAGCTAAATAAGCTCAACAAAATGAATTTCCCCGGTCAGAATAGGCCAGGAAACTGGTTTCGGCTTTAAAATCGTATTTTTTTTAATTTTCGCTCAGAATATTCGATTTTCAGTACAAAAAACATGATTTCTAGCCTATTTTAGCGATTCTAAAGCTAAAAAAGCTGAAAAAAAATGCAATTTTTGGGTTAAAAAAGGCTGAAAACTTGGTTTTTAGCCTACTTTCACCCAAAAACCAAGATTTCCAGAATATTTTTAACCTGAAAATCATGATTTTCAGCTTATTTTCGACCTAAGAACCATGATTTTCAGCCAATTCTTTTGCCCCTAAAAATCATTTTAAGCTGAAATTAGCGATTTTTAGCTGATTTTGACGCAATTTTAACTTAAAAATCGTGATTTTTAGCCTAAAAATAACGATTTTCGGCCAATTCTAACCCAAAATTCATGATTTTCAAGCCATTTTTACTCTGAAAATGCCACGTTTAAGTTATTTTCGACCTGAAATTCCCCAATTTTCTTCCAGATTCATCATCCGGATCGCGGAGGAGACGCCATATTTTTCGACAAAATCGCCAAGGCATATCAGGCGTTAACTGATAAGGAAGCCCGCGAGAATTGGGAGAAATACGGTAATCCAGACGGTCCAACTGCCACGACATTCGGAATTGCTCTACCGAAATGGCTCGTTTCCAAGGAATACGGTCTTTGGGTTCTGGCGTTTTATGGACTCATTTTTATGGTTATTATGCCGGTGGCTGTGGTATGTATGGGTGAAAATGTGCTTAAAAGAACCTATATGCTAAAATGGCTTGAAAAAGCTTTAAATTGAGCTAAACTTACCTAAAAATCAACAAAATTTGTCAATCTTGGGCTCAATTATACTAGAAATGGGTTAAAATAACTCAAATTAAAGCTAAAAATCGCTCAAAATGGCCCAAAATCGACTAAAAACGGCCTAAATTAGCTTGAAATACCTTAAAATTGAACGGAAAATGGCCAATTTTGAGACAGAATAGGCTAGAAATAACCTTCAACATGATTAAAAAAGGGTCAATTTTTGGCTGAAATATGCTCAAAATGGCTGAAAATAGCCCGATTTCGAGCCGAAATGTGCTAAAAATGACCTTTCGTCATTTTGGGGGGTTTTTTTTGCTAAGTAATCTGAAATTTACCTTTAAAATGGCAAAAAAAAAAGATAATTTCAGGCTAAAATGAGCTGAAAATGGCTGAAAACTATGCCTAAAATCGTTATAAATGGTCAATTTTGGGTCCAAAATGGCTAAAAATGGGTCCATTTGGGGCTGAACTTTGTTGAAAATGACCTTAAATTCTTCATTTTTTGTAAATTTTTGGACCAAACAATGATATAAATCGGTTAATTTCAGGCTAAAATATGCTTGAAATGGCTTAGAATAGCCCAAAACATGCTAAAAATGACTCTAAAACCGCCCAAAACCGCTATTTTGCAGGGTATGTGGTGGTACAGTTCGATCAAGTACAGTGCTGATAAGGTCCTCCTGGATACCACTAGAATGTTCTATTATTTTATCAACCGAACGCCGCGAATGGAGATTGGAAGTGAGTTTTTTTGGGGATTTTCGAGGTCAATTTTGAGCAATTTGAAGCTGCAAAATCCGATTTTTGAGCACAAATTTCGGGTTGAAAAACCCCAATTTCCGGGCGAAAAATGAGGAATTTTAAGCCTAAAAATAGGTTTTTTGGCTCAAAAATTGGGGGTTTTTGAGCAATTTCCCAACCTAAAATCCTTATTTTCCTTCCAGGAATGATCGCTGTGCTCTCTGGATCGTTCGAATTCAGCAAACAGTACAACAAGGAGATTGTCGAGCGAGAATCGGATGAAATCGAAGTTCCACGACTCATGAAATTCCTCACCGGAGTGAATGATAAGGGAAAAGAGCAACCGTTGAGTCAGGCGTACGCTCTCAAGGCTCGTACCTTGATTCATGCGTATCTGTCGAGATTACCACTGGAATCGGCGGAGAATGTGTTGGATCAGGATCAGGAGTGAGTTTTTGTGTCTAAATCTCTTAATTTCGGCTTGAAATTACCTATTTTTGGGTTTTTAGAGCCTGTTTTGGTGGAGAACGGTCTAAAAATACCCATTTTAGCCTTAAAATGACATGTTTTGACCTCTAATAAGCTCAAAAGTGGCTCCTTTTGACCTAAAAATACTCATTTTTGCTTTAAAATTGCGTATTTTGACCCCTAACAAGCTTAAAAATGGCTTATTATGGCCTAAAAATTCTCATTTAGGGTCATTTTCAGATCTAAAAATCGCTAGAAAGTTACCGTTTTCAGCTTGAAAAATAGCTATTTTGCTCTGAAAATGACCTTTTTCTAGCTGGAAACGGGAATTTTTGGCTTAAAAAAGACTGATTTTGAGCCGAAATTGAGCCATTTTGACTCCAAATACAGGGAATTTTAAGCTAGAAGAATGGCACTTCTGAGCTATTTTGAAGCTTTTTTTTCAGCTATTTTGACCCCCTAATGAACTCAGAATCATCTATTCTAGCTTGAAAAATAAGCAAATTCTTTAAAAAAACCCCCCATTTTTAGGTCAAAAAATATAGCGAATTTTAAGCTAAAAACTGCTCAAAATAGGCCTAAAATAGTTTAAAATAGCTCAAAAATAGGCTTTAAAACCCCCCAATTTTGGCTTATTTCAGCTAGTTTTTTGAATTTCCTCTGAAAAGCCCAAAAAACACTTTTAAAAACAAGTTGCCACCTGTGGGGTTCGAACCTGAGACCCCTAGATCCAGAATTTCGGCTGAAAAATCCATTAAGCCATGCGTGAAATTTCAGAAAAATAGGGTTTTTTTTGGCTATTTTAAGTCGATTTTTGACGTTTTTCGGGTCATTTTTAGCTATTTTAAGCGATTTTAAGCGATTTTTGGACTAATTCAAGCTGTTTTGAAGCTATTTTTGAGCTAATTTGACTGCTAATATTTTCAGAATTCCTATTTTAGCTGGAAAAATAGCGTATTTTGGCAATTTTTGGCTCAAAAATCATCTGAAAACCTCGTTGTTCCAGCTACATCATCACCCGAATCCTCCGTTTCGTCGAAGAAATGGTCAATTGCTCACAGAATCTCATGTCCTACTCGCAACACTCGAAAATCACCATCGACACATTCGATAATCTGCTCCGCCTGCAGCCAATGTTCGTTCAAGCACTATGGCAAAAGAATAGTCCACTTCTACAGTTGCCACATTTGACCGATTACAATTTGCAGCACTTGCGGAAGGTTTGTGGGGGGTTTTTAGCTGGACAAATTGAATTTTTGACCAATTTTGAGCTAGAAAAATCTCATTTTTCCAGAAAAAAATCTTCTCGTGTCACGACTTGGCCATCATGGATTCTGAATCCCGACGTGCTGTGCTTCGTACCCTTACCAATGACGAATACAGGGATGTGATGGTCGTCCTATCGATGATGCCACGTCTTCGAATCGAAACGAAGACTGTTGTGGAGGGAGAAGACGACAAGCACGAGCTGACAGCCGGTTGTGTGGTTACACTGAAGGTTTGGAGGCGTTTTAATGCTACTAGGCCGTTTTTGGGGCTTTTTTAAACCTAGAATCATGATTTTTAGGTCTATTTTCACCCCCCAAAAGCAAGTAGAATCTTTAGGCTTTTAGGCCCCCTTTAGGCCCGATTCTCACGCCCCAAGACCCTTTTAAGCACCAAAAACCATGATTTCCACGTCGAAAATCCGATTTTCCAGGTCACTATGAAGCGTAGCAGCCTGATCGATCCACAAGAAGCGGGCCTAGCCGATCAGTACAAGGCCTATTCATCTGGAGCTGACGAAGACGAGAGAGAAGAGGGAGAAGAGAATCAGACAGAGGAGACGGCAGACGGAGGAGAAGAGGTGAAGAAGAAGAAGGTGTGGACGGCGAAGAATAAGCAGAGTAAGAAGAAGAAGAAGGCGGCTGGAGGACAGGGACCACAGAAGAAGTTCCAGAAGAAGACAACGACGGCGCCAGGGTCACCATCTACGAATTCTGAGGGACAGGCGCTGGTTAAGGTGAGGAAGTTAGCGAAATTTTGGCTAAAAATGGTCCAAAATTGACTGAAAAGGCTCAAAACTGACCTAATTAAGCATTATTTTGAGGAGCCATTTTAGCTGAAATTCGGCCTAAAAATGACTCGAAAATAGCTTGATAATAGCTTGAAAATGACTCTAGATAGCTCAAAAAATATTGAAATGGACTGAAAATAGCTCAAAAATGACCCAAAAAAGCTCCATTTCTAGGTCATTCTGAAGCGGTGGCCTAGAAAATCAAATTTGTGAAAAAGTTAGGCCACCACTTCAAAATGATTGACCCCGCCTAAAACGATCAAATTTCATTCCAGGCCGCCGAAGAAGAGGAAGACGACGAGGAGAAGAATTCAGAAGTCTCTGACGTCGGCTCGGACGACGAAGACGCCGACGCCGCCGCTTCTGGAAACTCGGACTCGGAAAAAGAGCAAAAGGCGGGAGATTCCGATTCTGAATGGGAAGATGACGTTGCATCAAACAAGAAGTCTATATTCGAGACGAAAAACACCCAGACGCATACCGTACACGCACCGTACTACCCGATGGAGAAGTTTGAATGGTGGTGGATTACTGTAGCCTATGTGGATAAGAAGGAGAAGACACGGCAGATGTTGACGTTCCCGCAGCTGGTGAAGACGTTGATCGATGAGCAAACGGTAAGGAAAAGGGGGGTTAAAAGGGGCTGAAAATTGCCCGAAATAGGCTTAAAAATGACCCAAAATCACCCCAAATTGGTCTAAAAGATCCAAAATAGGCTTTAAATGGTTGAAATTGGGCTGAAAATGGTCCAAATTTGACTGAAAATGGTCTGAAATAGGCCTGAAAATAGCCTAGCAATGTCCAAAATTGACTAAAACTTGTCTGAAAATGGCTGAAAATGATCTAAAATGTTCCAGGTGGACATCCGATTCGCCGCCCCACCACACAAAGGGATCTACACGTACAATCTGTCGGTGAGGTCCGACTCGTACATGGACGCCGAGTATAGTGTTGATTTTAAGGTAATTATTCTCTAAAAATTTGGAATTTTTTGAAATTTTGGCTGAAAATCTGAAAATTGGCGTTTTTTCGGCTTCAAAATTGGGAATTTAAGCTATTTTTGGACGCAAAAATACCGAGTTTAAAGCGATTTTTTATCTCAAAAAACCCCAATTTTTCATGTTTGAGATGACAGAAAAAAACGTGAAAATTTGCGAATTTTCAGCCTTAAAGTGGAATTTTCAACCCAAAAATCCCCCATTTTTAAGCTCAAAAATCCGTGATTTCGACGGAAAATTGGCAAAAAATCGATCAGAAAAACGGCGGTTTTTGGCTTGAAAGTTTGACCGGAAATCCCTATTTTTTGGCTAAAAAATTGGCTGAAAATCGGTAGAATTCAATTTTTCAACTCAGAAATTTCGATTTTTAGCGATTTCTGATACCATAAAGGTTACTGTAGCAAACATTTTCGATGAAAAATGAGCAATTTCCTAGTATTTTGGGTTTTAAGGATTACTGTAGGAACAAAAATGAGCAATTTTCCAGATCGACGTCAAGGAGGCGAAATTCGTTGAAATCAAACACGACGACTACGTTGACGAGGACGACGAAGAAGCTGGGCAGGTGTCGAGTGAGGACGACTACACGGAGGACGATGATTCAGATGACGAGTAGATTCTGAATCCTTCGGAATCCTTTCATTCATTAGAAGACGTCGTTTTTTGAATTCTCTACTTGAACTCTTGTCTCTTTTTCTGTTTTTCCCCCTATTTAAAAACCGTGAAACTTTTAATAGAAGGACCCCCCTCTCCCCTAACATTCAACTTTGAGCCCGTTTATCTCATTTCCTGTGAGAGATATCAAAATTCTGTCAACTGATAAAATGTAGCTGATGATATGAGCAATATTTTATCAGTTGACAGAATTTCGATATCTCTTATAGAAGCCGAGATGATTGAGCTCAAAATTGTCAGTGTGGGGGGGGCCTTCTATTACAGGTTTTACGGTAATCATATCCACACCTCTAAATTATTGCCTTTTTCCATTCTTTCTCTTGGGTTCTATTTTTTTCTTTTCCTCTGGAATTTTCCCTTCCCCTCCACACCAAAAAAATATATATCATTTATTATTTTCATTTCTTTGTTAATTAGTATTTCTAATTAGGCTCCGCCCCTTTTTTCTAGGCAGCTCCGCCCCCTCCTTTTTTTCTTGTCCTCTGTTTGCATTATCATATGGCATCCTCCGTTTTTTTTAATTAATTAAAAATGTTAAAATAAGCCTAGTGTACTGTATTTGTTACTGTAGTTTACTGTAGTTCCTCAAATAGAAGCCCAAAACCAAATCATTATTAACTTTGAACTCAATCATCTCGGCTCCTATGAGAGATATCAAGTATTTGTCAACTGATAAAATGTTCCTGATAGTATCAGCAACCCCTAGTAAAAACTGTAAAAAAGAAGTTGCCACCGGCGGGAATCGAACCTGCGACCCTTAGATGCAAATTTTTAGCCTAAAATCCCACTCGGCCATCCGAGCAATTTTTTAGAAAAAGCCTAGAAAATGATTTTTAAGGTCAAAATATGGGTTTTCAAAGGCCCTTAAGGTGTTTTTTGAGCATGAAAATTGCGATTTTCGAGGTTTTCAGTCATAAAAAATTCAAAAATTCTGAATTTTTGGTCCAAAAGTGCCCGAAAATCCATTTTTCTGACTTTTTTTTCTGAAATTGCTACAATTGGGATTCGAACCCGCGACCCCTAGATCCAAATTTTTCGTCGAAAATCCCACTAGGCCATCTGAGCACTTTTTTAGAAAATAGCTAGAAAAATAGTTGTTTTTTTTGTCAAAGCGTCCCGGAGGTGTTTGTGAAAGTAAAAAGTTTTAAAAAATGAGCTTTTAGGCACTTTCAGACTCGAAAACTTTGAATTTAGCTCTCAAATAGCCAATATTTCCAGCCTAAGAGCGTGTTCCTATCTGACATTCGTCTTTGATCTGTGGAATCTTCTGATTGGTGCCGGTGGTGGATCCCTCGTCATTGCTCTTCTCTTCACTCTCATCTTCCTTTTCATCGAAAACGAAAAAGATTCGGAAGGCTGGAGGAGTGTCTGGAGTCACAAATGGTACTGTATCTCAAGATGGCACGAGCGGGGGGAACACGAACCACTGCAAATGGGACTACTGGAACCACACAGAACGCTAATAATCAGCCGATGACCATGAATCGATTGGCGTTTTTGATCTACTTGTTATTCTGGATTAAACTTCTTTTGAAGTGATATATAACTCGTGCGAATTCATTTTCTAGTTGAATAAATCACTTGATTTGAAATGTTTTCCTCTAGACTTCGACCTCAATTATCACAATTTCTGTGAGATATATCAAAAAACTGTTAACTGGTAAAATGTAGGAAATTTTGTGATAAATATTTTATCAGTTGATAAATTTTTGATATCTTTTGTGATAAGTGAATTAATTGAGCTCAAAGCGCAATCCGCCGGCTGAGCTGCGCGGTTGCAGCCGGCGCATTTTGAGCTTAATTATCTTGCTTCTTATGAGAGATAACAAAAATGTGTCAACTGATAAAATGTTGGTGATATTATGATAAACGTTTTGTCAGTTGACACATCTTTGATATCTTCAACGGGAAATGAGATAATTGAGCTCAAAGTGGGCGGTTCGTGTGCTGCCCCAGATCGGTTTTATTGATTTATCGGGACAGACTGATGAGCAAGTTGAACAAGAGTAGAGGAAACAACTTTATTGAAACTATCAACCGTAAACTGAGTTATTATTCCTTTCGGAAGTAGAAGCAGTGGTCCGGAGATCTAGAGATCCTCCATGACGGTGTCAGTTGGAGCTTTTTGAGTTGGGGTTCCAGAGGATCGGTGGTTTTGGAGGACTTGGCGATTCCGTTGGAGTTGGAGGCAGACATCGGTGGCGGGAGCAGTTGGAGATTGAAGGAGAGATTCGGTTATATTCAAGGGGAAATACGGTAATTGAGTTCAAGATAAAAGCGCAAAAGCTCTATAAATGATCACAATGCAAATAATCAAGAAGGTTAGCATTTCATTTTTATTAATAAATTATTATCATTATTATACAAAAAAGAATAATAAAATTCTATCCTTCTCATCCTCCCATCTTCATCTCCAATGATTCTTCCTCTCATCCATTCCTAGACATGCAATTATTAAGTGCCTGTCGTAATTGTCCAGAATGATGCATATTGAAAAGATCCGAGGATCCACCGATGAATTGACCACAAACAAAAACGTATGGGAATGTGGCTTGTCGAGTGACTTTGAGAAGGTCCACTTGCAGTTGACGTTGCCAGTCATTGTCGCCGACCAGTTCTGAATAATGAAAAATGGGAATTTTTCTTAAAAAACAAAATACACAAAAAATCAAAAAATTTGATTTTTTTTTTGAATTTGGACATTCCTGGAAATCGAAAAATACATAACATTAAAAAACAATTTAGTATACACAAAAATGGTCCAAAAATCAAGTTTCTAGCTCATCTCGGGGCCGG